GTCCCCCCAAAAAAGCCCTTTCCCTTTCCGGAATTCAGTGCCATCTGGTGTCTCAAATGGCAGTTTATCTTTTACTATACTAATGGCGGCAATGAACATGTGGTCTGCAGTATTTAATGGGGCACCGCCACTTAAAGGTCAACGGTAAACGAGAATGTGCACTTCACTACAATTATTTTTCAATCTCTTTTAGTGTCGATGGCGAAACAAATGCAGCCAGTCGGAACGAAGCGCCAACCCACATAGACGCCTTGATAGAGTTCTATACATCAAGGGGCTTTGAAGCCAAGTGAGTGCTACTAACAGATTGACTGGGACCGAGTTAGAAGTGAACGCTTACGCAGCTCTTGCGTCCAATTCCTGCTTCACGCCGCGCTAACATCTAGAATGTATAGGCCTCGAATTATCTGCTTAGGAGCATCTTCAACTTCTTCCTTCATCAGTAAACAGAAGGCCGCCATTAGTATAGCATATATGCCGTTTTCAGATGATGATGATAGTGATCAAAGTGGCCAGACTGAATTCCGGAAAGGGTCTATTGGAACCCGGAAGTCAAGTTTTTGCAATTAATTTTGGGACGAGCGGGAACCGCTGGTTGCCAGGTGTGATCTCTTGCCGTTTGGGCCCACTTTCGTATCAAGTGCAACTTGAAGACGGTCGTGTGTGGCGGCGACACATAGATCATATCCGTACGCGGCATTCCAGCATGTAAAGTGACAGTCCAAGCCGGAGTTGCGAAGTCCAGATTCCCGATGCAAGCTCCGCAACGTCAAGCCCGAATGCAGACCCGGACGTCCGTCTAGCAGCTGCTCCGACTACTGACCAAGAAACCGAGCAACGCCAGGCAGGTCAATCCACATCGACCTCCTATCTTCCTAATCCTGGCGCTGCTATATCAGGACGTCCTCAACGCGAACATCGTCGTCCGGGGTATCTTCGAGACTACATTTAGGGGGGAGGTGTGTCGTGTACTGGTCTGTGGTGGCATGCCGGCCACGAGACAGTTCGACGGTCCACGCGAGCGCCGGCTGCTGCGCGAGCCAGGCCTCCTTCCGCGTGCCCCCATTCGGTTACGGCTGCTCGACCTAGAGCACGTACACAACGTACATGTACAAATAAACCCTTGGTCCTCCGTGCCTGACGCACCCGACGCCTCGAGTGGACTACATTACAGTACCCTATTACTATCTTTTATCTAATCACTGGCTACGAAAGCCTCTTTTATCTCTCTAAACCTTTTCCAGCAATAGCTTTTGTGCCATAAACACCAAATCAACCAACCAACCTCCCCCCCGTTTTTCCTATGGTATGGTAGAACGCTCCTCGACCTCGAGTTGTGCCGGCTTCTGTGCTTTTTGCTCGGCGTTTCCTCCGTCCCGGAAAATGGACCTCCAGAACAATTACAAACTAAACTTACTATATGCCAGTGTCACTCGGGCGGCGTTGGATCGCATTATTACCAGAGTGCAAGGGGGTGGGGAGGTTGTTTGCCAGATCGCTTCAAGGTTTTTCTGAGCCTCAACTTCCTGCCTGCCCCTGGCCGTTTCGTACTGAATGAGTATCGTAAAACAGTGCGTTCCTTTGATCACTACTGCGTGATGCACGTTAAAGACCACCCCGGGCTGTCACAATTACTGATCTATGGTCACACGTCACTCTGCACTGGCAAATATTTCAGCACATCCGGGACACTCGTCGTCTCGTTTAATTGCCTCACCAACTTCGCGCAGTCTAAATATCAAACCCGAACTTTTTGAAACCTGATTTCGTGAAAACCAGTGAGGCGTGAAAACGTAATTTAAAACTGAAACTGTGGAGGAACATGAAACCGGGGTTCGAACTTTGCGAACTTGGACTTGAAAGAAATCCGAAATCTTCAAAGTTTTTTTTTTTTTTTTTTTTTTTTTCGAATTTAGCCCTAAAAGAGAATCGAAACCTTCGTACTTTTCGAACTTCATGTAGCAAGAAATTTCAAATCTTAGAATTTTTTAAACTATATGTCTATAAAAATTAGAAACGTTCGAATTTTTCGACTTTCAGATTCAAAGAAATTCGAAAGCTTCGAAGTTTCCAAATTAAGATCCCAAGAAATTCAAAATTTTCGAATATCTCGAATTTCAAGTTGGGAAAGTTCGAAATCTTCGAATTTCTCGAACCTCAAGTAAAAAAAAATATTCGAAATATTTGAACCTGAACTTTTATAAGCCGTGAAAGCTTCGAACATTCGAATTCGAAACTTCAAGGTGTAAGAAAGTTGCGAACTTTTCAAATTCCAACCTCGGCACGGTTCTAAAATATCGAAATTTTTAGAATTCGAACCTCAGTTCGGTTCGAAAATATCGAAACCTTTCAAATTCGAACCTAGGGGTGGTTCGCGACATCCCTATGATACATGTTCTTAGAAAACTCTTTAGATCTTTATATTCTGTGACAGTGCTGTCTCCGGAGTGCTTTCGTTCTGTTTGACATTGTTCACCGCGTAAAGGAACTAAGTTAATGTTTTAGAAATCAATGAATCTTTTAATTTTGTGACATACTTTCTCTCAGAGGTTTGTATTATTTTCATTGCTGCCACTGTAAGGGGGTCGAGGGCTCGTCAAGCTGCCTGTGAGTAGCTTGTTCCCTCGGTCTCCGCCATCAATGTATGGAAATAAAAACTTGATTTATTATTTCTATATAGGTTCCATTTGTTCGATGGCACAGTCTAAAGATAGATCGGAATCAAGTTAGCTGGAGCATTGGATGGAAGCTTGGGAATAACGTTGAACAGTTCTGGTCGACTGTTTTTTTTTTTGTTTTTTAAGGATACCTATTTGTTTTTTACGTGCTGATGTTTGTTATTGTAACATTCTACATATGAAATGTAATTGATGTGCATAACGAAATGACAAACTGTCTTTATCTAAATTACAATGGCAGTTTTTATTATTTCCTTCAGAACTTGAAAGAACATAAATTTTGGTGTTCAAAGTTATTCTAATTCAACATTAATTACTTCAGTGGAATATACTGGTTCGTTTACCATATTTTCCGGACTATAATCCGCGGACTATACATGCTTAAAAGTTGAAATTTTACCCGAAGTGGACCATCTCCTGGTGCGGACTATACAAGGATTGTTTTTTTCTAGATCATTCCCTATGACAGGACGTGAAGGATTTCATGAATAACGGTGTATATTAGTGTTGATGTATCTATGATGCAAGCTTCTTCGTGAGCTAATACAGCAGCCATTTGTCAAGGTGTGCTGTGTGTGATAATTCTTACGTTCATACTAGGCACTAAATGCGGACTATGCAGCGGTTGCGAACTATCTAAGCAAAAGCTTTTATTTTTGACCCCAAATTTTTTTCTGCCGACTGTGCCACCGGGTGCGGGCTATAGTCCGGAAAATATGATACTTTTTACTCCATACCTAAAATAACATATCGTAGCAGCTCATACTGTCCTTCATCAATCAGCATATTCTTGGCATGTTTAGTGCTTCCACGCGAAACTAAACAGCTAGTTCCGAGTTTGAAGGAATCAAACCTGCCATGCAGTTGATGCTATCAAGAAGTTCTACATAAGTTGGAGGGCCAAGAGGCATTGTCTTGTAGCTGGACGTGCTAACAGACGAATCTTAGCGCAATATTTGCGTGGTATGAATGAAAATGTGCGCTTATGACTCAAAAGTGCTTTTTGCTGTTCCAAAATGGACCTTTGGCTGCTCTAAAAGGTGCTGCGAGATGACTCGGACCAATAACATCACCGTGTTTATCATAGACATGTGCTGGGGTCGCCAAAGCACAGGGCACGCGCCAGGTTCCACACATTGTTCAGGTTCGGCTTTTCCCGCCATCGAAGTGATTGGGCCCGAGCCACTACCTGAATGCATGTCGAGGCATGGGTTGTCACGAGCCCAAGTGCGATGGTCACGCAGTGCTTGTGTCTACTTCATGAGCCACATTTAAATATCTCCGCGGGGATCTTGAAGCTTGATAACAAAATTCTGGGGACCGCATTGTTGACAACTCCAACAATGCAATCCCCACAACTTCGTCATCAAGTTTTGCGAAGGGGAGATTGAAAGAAAACGTCTGCTTTTATCCATGAAATTACGCTGCGACAAAGGCTTCTTGGTCAGTGGTGTTTTGTGCTAGCACGCAGTTCCACTAGCGCCAGTAGGCTTGTTTAAAGTGAGAAACATTCCAACCCAACATCGTTGCACGGCCCCTTTAAATGCGATAAAATCTCTGAGCGAACCCTGCGCACTTCCAAGTTCGTGTCTCAGTTTGCAACCAAGGCAGGCGGCACGCATCTGTTATACAACTACTTCAATTGTGCAGACGGGGGGTAATGCACCCAAACAAATGTGATGGGATAAATTAGCTTCTGTATGACAAATACGGTTATCAAGCCTGTTATTATGTTTATGTGTATTGTAAGAGAGATATATTTGAAAGGCAGTAAAGCTATAGCCTGAATCGTTGGTTGCTAACATAGGCCCGTCTGGGAAGTAAGCAGTTAGATCAGAAAATTAAATGAAATAATTTAAAATGCCCACGAAAGGTAGTCCTAAAATTTCGTAGAAGTTCCTTAGCAGTTTAATAAAGAAACGATTACACAGTGTTTGACGGTGCAAAATGATGTGTTATTTCAGTGACAATGTGAGCAATGATTTCAGCAATTATTTGCAGATTTTTCTGGTGCTTTATGGCAGAACATGTGTATCTCAGGCTTGTGGGGTATATTGAGCCATATTATTTTTGGATCCGTCATGTTTCCTTTTGTAAGTCAACCACATTTCATTTTGGTGTGTTTGTGATGAGATCTAAGGGATCACAGATTTCACATCATCATTTCTGGATTGATACTAATTTCCCACATGTGCGTAGAGATGTTCGAATGTGATCCCAGAGACATTTTCATTATGTGTGTTTGATACTCACATATCGAAACGTGTTACCTCGTTGTTTAAAGGTTCTTTTTAACTCTTTCGTAACCATGCACATTTCCTTTTGTCTTCAGATTTGAGTTCGCTGTCTTCAGAGGAGGAAATGGGGGAGGAGTCAGCGCCGACAATTGTCCCTTCGACCAAGGTACGATTTGCCGACCCCTTGCTTCCCTTTGTTTGCGTAGTTTGTGACCCTCGAGATCTTTTTCCTCGTAATATGATCTGTTTCTCCATAGTTTTTTTTTCTGTTCTTCATTTTGCACTTTAATTATTTAATATTCCTTTTCTTGCTTTTCAACTGGTTTTATGTATTTGTTCTTATTTATGTACCAAAAGTGCTCCTTTGCTTTGTGTTGCTTTGTTCTCTTTATTTAGAGTGTTGTTTCTATGGTTGACATTAACTGCTGACCTAACTTTTGATTACTAACCTAACCCTGTATTACCAAGGGGTCCCTTCCACTGTTTTCGTTAAGAAATTTGAGACACCTGGCTTGATAAATACCTTATGAGCTCACAACTTGTTTGAAAATAAAAACACAATTTGACTTGACTATTGAGCATACAATGTTCATTGTTCAATAAAGTGCTAATCTCCCATTTTGTCTCTCCCCCAATTTTAAGAGCCCCTCCCCCCTGTGTTGTACAACAGTTTTGTGTCTTTTTAAAAATAATTCTTACTTTTTTTTTAGCTTGTGGAAAATGGAAACGAAGCCTGTCGACGGGCCCTTTTGGAAGAGGCACTTCTTGGCAGCAGTGGTGACAGCGAAGAGGGTAATGCAAGCATTTGTTCCTTGACGAAGACCTGAGGAAGTCCAGTTTCTGATAGTGACTTACATTTGCTAATCTTAAGTCACTAACCATTTATTACACCATATAGAGATATTGTCGAGGTCAGATTGTAGAAGGGAATGATCAGATTGGTCAATTATTTCACTGATAGAGCATAGTCATCAAAAATAATTTGATGAAAGACTGAACGCCAGCGGGAAGGTCAATAATATATAATCTTAAAAAAAGCGAAGGGCATAAAATGGAACCCTGAGAGATGACAGACTTCACGGGACAAGAAGATGAGGCACACTCATTAGCAGTTACAAACCGTGTGCTTAGTCAAAGAGCATTCAATCCATTTGATGATGGTAGGGTCAATATTTAAGGTGCTCATCTTAAGGAGGAGTAACTGATGTGGTACCTTGTCCAACGCTTTCGCGAAGTCGAGGAAGATACAATCGAGAAACGATTCATGGTCAAGGACTGATGCTATGTGAGGTGTGAAGGAGAGCAGTTGCGTTTCACGGGAATAATGTCTTTGAAAATTGTGCTGAAATGGGCTAAAATATAAATTAGACTCGAAAAATGAAGCAAGGTTTGAGTGGATCACATGTTCTAACATTTTACAGGCAATGTTCGTGAATAAAATGGGGCTATAATTAGGAAGTGATTGAATATTGCCGGAATTCTGAAAAGGAACGACCTTCCAATGATATAGCACCATGGAGCACTGAATAGACTGTGTTTTTGTGCGAAAAAAAGGCAGGTGAATAGTGTAACCGTAGCCCGTGCTTAGTTGCAAGCACCATCCACATCGTCACCACTTCTCCCTCGTTCAAGAAGGCGTTGGGTCGCCATGTCTCATGTAACCGCCAATTCCAGTTCTATTAAAACTCGTTGACTCAAACAACTGAGTCGTAAGACTACGCGAGTGACACGATACACGTCACATGGTGTCAGAAGATCGAGATGTCGCGCGAAAACGGACTCCGGCCGTCGAAATCACTGGATACGAGCACCAATGACTCCACAATGTGGGAGAACTGGCTGCAGTCCTACGAGTGATACGAAACCGCCGTGCAACTCCTGAAGAAGCCACCCGAAGTGCAAGTAGCAACCTTTATGTAAGTTATCGGAACCGAGGCTCAAAAAATCTACCGAAGGTTCCAGTTAGCGGATGAACAAAAGAAGGACGTGAACATCATCAAGGCGAAGTTCACAGCGCACTTTACGCCGCGCATCAACCATGCCTACGAGAGGTACAAATTTAACCAGATGGCACAAAAAGAACGAAAATCCTTCACGGACTGTGTGACTGCCGCACGACTACAAGCGAACAGATGCAATTACGGTCAGCTCACGGAAGAACTCATGCGAGATCGAATCATTGTCAGTGTGCAGAACGACTACGTCAGAGAAAAACTCCTGACGGATCCAGCCATGGACTTGGACAAGGCGATACATCTTTGCAAGGCAAATGAGCAGGCGACTCAACAAATCAAGGACATGACGACGCAGAGCACGAAGGCTGTCGGCGCAGTGCGACCGAGAACGGAGCAAAAGAAGAAGACTACAGCCGACAAGTAGACGCCGAAACCACCGTCAGAAAAGCGAGCTACACGGACGCCGCTAGCATGAAAGACAAGTTCTTAAGAACTGTGGCTACTGTGGAAGCCAGCATCAGAGAGGAAACTGCCCAGCATATGGCAAGAAGTCCATCATTTACAGCAGGACCGGACACTTTGCGGCTGTATGCAGAACAGGCAAGAGGAAACAAAGAGAAGTTCACGCCGTCGAATGCACAGACTCTGATGAAGAAATGTTTGTCTCAGAAATCCAGAAGCGAAAGGACAACACAAGAGAGTAATGGTACGAAAGCATCTCATTCCCTTGCGGAAAGACGGTAGAAAATAAGGTTGGACACCGGAGTCCGGTGCAGTGTGCTGCCAGTCGGCATTGCAAACAGTCTCAACCTCAAGACAAGACAATCACCAGTGAAACGCATCGTCTCCTACACCCAACACAGACTTGACGTCGCCGGCAAGTGCATCGCTCCGTGCAAGGTCCGGGACAAGTCGGTCATGATCAAGTTCATCGTCGTGGATGCACACGCAGCACCCATCCTAGGGGGAAACGCGTGCGAAACGCTCAACCTGATGAAGCGTGTGCATCTGCTAGAACAGCAAGAAGAGGAAAACCTGTACACTGGCCTGGGATGCATAAAAGGGTTCGTCTACGATGCGGACCTAAAAGAGAACACGGAAGGTGGAGAAAACAGACCGCCGAGAAAAGTGCCATTCGCCATCATGAATGACGTCAAGAAAAAACTCGACAACATGGAGGACGGTGGAATCATTAAGAAAATAAACGATCCAACTCCATTCTCCAGTCAGATGGTCGTAGTCAAGCAGAAAGGCAAGCTAAGAATTTGCCCAGACCTAACAGATCTCAACAAGATCCTACTCGGAAGACATTTACCACTCAAGACGCTGGAAGAAATCGCAGCACAAGTCAGTGGTTCCAAAGTCTTCACGCTGCTCAACTTTTTGGAAACTACCGGTGTCTGAGAAGACCCAGAAATACCTGGATTTTGCACGCCATGGGGGAGGTATACCTTCCTACGTGTTCCTTTTAGAATAGCAGCGGCACCCGAAGTATTTCAACGAGCGATCCCAGAAATCCTGAAAGGCCTCCCGAATGTCGCAAGCTCCATGGATGACATGCTCATATATGCCAAGACGATGGAGGAGCTGAACAAACACACCGAAGCAGTATTGGAAAGACTACGACAAGCAGGCTCCAAACTAACCAACAGAAATGTGTCTACAACCAAGCAAGAGTCAAGTTCCTACGACACGTCCTAACAGAGAAAGGCCTTGAAATAGACAAGGAAAAGGTTGAAACTATCGAGAAAATCAAAAGAACCAAGAAACATGGTTGAACTACAACGTCTCATTGGCATGCTGCAATACCTGCAGAACTTCATACCCAACCTAGCAGAGAAAGCAGTCCCACTGAGAAAGTTGCTGAAGCAAGACACAGCATGGCTTTGGACAGAAGAGCAGAGCACTGCACTTCATGTGATCAAGAAGGACCTCAAAGAAGCCCAACCTTACAGTACTACGACGTCAATGGAGAGTTGACTCTATCAGTGGACGCCAGCTCAAAAGCACTAGGCGCAGTACTCATGCACGATGGAAAGTCTTTGGCCTACGCATCAGCCACACTAACTCCAGCACAGATTAACTATCCACACATAGAAAAGGAAGCCTTGGCAATACGATACGGCTGCAAGAAATTCCACTCCTACATCTATGGGTGACCACTGACCTTAGAAACTGATAATCATCCTCTTGAAAGCATCAGTAAGAAACCACCGGGACTTGCACCACCTCGATTGCAGAAACTCCTCTTTGACATACAACACTGAGCGCCCAAGATTGTATACAAGAGAAGGAAAGATCTTCACATCGCAGGCTTCCTAAGCCGTGACTGTGAAACCGATGAGAGTGCCAACACATGTACTGAAGACTTGGAGGTACTAGCCATCTTGCCAATGCAGGAAGAAACTTTCAGAGAACTCAGAATATCAATCGGACAGGACGGAGCACTGCAAAGCGTAATGCACTCAGTAAAAAACGGATGGCCTCCAACGAAAAGAATGACGGAAACACAAAAAACTCTTCTCAGTAGTGTGTGACGAGCTATCAGCTTACGAAGGCTTGCTGTTCCGAGGTTACCGCATAGTCATCCCAAAGACGTGGAAACACAGGGTTCTACAAGCAGCACACTCCGGACACCTTGGGATCAACAGCAGCCTCAAACGCGCACGAGAGACAGTATACTGGCCAGGAATGTCAAACGACATCCGAGATCACGTCCAGGCATCCAGTGTGAGTGAATCGTCACACAAAAGACCGCCGAAGGAGCCACTCATCCCGAAAGAAGTTCCCAACTTGCCCTGGGAACGAGTAGCTGTGGACTTGTTTGACTACAAAGGAAAACCACACATTGTGATTGTGGACAGCTACTCCGGGTACACAGACTTTGCTGAACTTCGAAACAGCACGGCAGCAGAAGTAATTGTTGCAATGAAACGCTGGTTTGCAGCTGATAGTAAAATATATAAATGGGCTAGTTGGTACATCATTGAACGGAAAGCGCCGAATGAACAAGGACGAAGAAGGGGACAGAGACGAAGCGCACTCACAACTGAAGGTTTATTGAAAACAACATTGACTATTAGTACCGTCTATCGGGGCGTTGGCTCAAAAAGAAAAACTCTTTATCAGTTAAGTGCAGTGACGGCGCACTAATACACAGACTCACCCCTTGCTCTCTTATGCGGAATGCCTCGTGTATTTCTCGCGCTGTTTTGTTTTCGTATCTGCCCAGAACTGTTATTTTTTTTTCCAATTCCGAGCCACATGGGCACCTATCACAATGCGCCGCAAGATTGCCCGACGGGGACTGTTTGACTGACCAGGCATGTTCTCTGGCCCTTTCATTTATGCAAAGCCCCGTTTGGCCCACATACGATTTCCCGCAACTCAATGGTATGTTATACACCACTGACGTTGCACACTCCACGTATTGATTAGCGTGTTTCCTTTGACACGCCCTACCCCCTCCCTTTGCGTTGTTTATTTTTGAACACAGGTGAGACAGCTTGTGTGGCGCTGAAATGTGTGGCGGCTTGTGGACAGCTTTTGTGGCGCTGAATTATTTTCATAATCTATCGCACAATCTAAAAAAAGTGGCGGCTCATTTTGAAGTGCCAGTGGTGTTTTCAGCGCCACACAAGCTGTCTCACCTGTGTTCAAAAATAAACAACGAAAAGGGAGAGGGTAGGGCGTGTCAGAGGAAACACGCTAATCAATACGTGGAGTGTGCAACGTCAGTGGTGTATAACATACCATTGAGTTGCGGGAAATCGTATGTGGGTCAAACGGGGCTTTGCATAAATGAAAGGGCCAGAGAACATGCCTGGTCAGTCAAACAGTCCCCGTCGGGCAATCTTGCGGCGCATTGTGATAGGTGCCCATGTGGCTCGGAATTGGAAAAAAAAAAAACAGTTCTGGGCAGATATGAAAACAAAACAGCGCGAGAAATACACGAGGCATTCCGCATAAGAGAGCAAGGGGTGAGTCTGTGTATTAGTGCGCCGTCACTGCACTTAACTGATAAAGAGTTTTTCTTTTTGAGCCAACACCCCGATAGACGGTACTAATAGTCAATGTTGTTTTCAATAAACCTTCAGTTGTGAGTGCGCTTCGTCTCTGTCCCCTTCTTCGTCCTTGTTCATTCGGCGCTTTCCATTCAATCATTGCAGCTCATGGCATACCACGAGTTGTAGAGTCGGACAACGGGACCTGCTTCACAGCTCGGGCATTCCGCAGACTCGAAGAGGAGTGGCAGTTCCAACTACGAACGTCAAGCCCATTGTACCCCAGGTTCAACGGCCTTGCTGAACAGGCAGTACGAACTGTGAAGAACATACACAAGCGGTGCGCCATGGATGGTAGCGACGTTTACCTAGCAATGCTGAACCTAATAAATGTGCCACGCGACGGAGACCTTGGCTCACCGGCACAGCGTCTTTACGAAAGACGAACAAACACAACATTGCCGGTGAAGAGCGATTTACTGAAACCGAGAACAATCCAAAGGGTCAAACGCAAAATGGAAGAAGTACGTATGAAACAGAAGTTCCATGCAGACACGGGCACAACAGCTGCACCTGCCATAAATATAGGTGACAGTGTGCGTAGTATCGGGGAAAGTCCAAGGAAGTGGATACCAGACTCAGTTATCAGCAAGCATGGTGCCACAAGATCGTACGTGCTCCAGACCCACCACGCCATTATCAGAAGAAACACTTCAATGATAAGGCCCACCAAAGCGCAGCTCAATACCAGCTGAGGGGATGCTACAACAAGCATCGCTGAACCCAGCCAGGAAGCTGAAGAGGCGCAGCCACCATCGCAAAGATACACAACCCCTTTAGTGCCACGCGGCCCAAGCGGCATCACGGTGAGTCGGGCCGGCCGCACTGCCAAGCCAGCGGTCAAACTGGACCTTTAGTGGAAAGGGAAGATGTGACGGTAGCCCGTGCTTAGTTACAAGCACCATCGACATCGTCACCACGTCTCCCTGGTTCAAGAAGGCGTTGGGTCGCCATTACGCCATGTCTCGTGTAACCGCCAATTCCAGTTCTATTAAAACTCGTTGACTCAAACAACTGAGTCGTAAGACTACGCGAGTGACACGATACACGTCACAAATAGACTTCATTGTTTTTATATACTTTGAGTTTAATTCATCAGCGCCACGACTAGAGGAAATCTTCAGTTTGCAGATTAAATTCATTTCCACAGAATTAATAACAAAAGGATTCATTGGAAAGAACTCGCGGTTACGAAATCCACGATTTGCAAAAAAGCTGCTGCGCTTGCGCGAGCAGAGCTTGTTGCTAGCACTCCCTGTTTGATTGCAAAATAAATGGACATGCCTGCTATTCCTAGGCTGCGACAGAGGTGCCGAAGCGAGAACGGAGAGAGCTCTCGAGTCGCTTTGTTGGTCGCCATGCCGGCGCTGTGTTGCGTATGGTTGCGCAAATTACTTTTACGGTAAAGAGAACGTCAAGTTTTTTTAGATTTCCTGTTTTTTATGCTGTATCCTGCGAAGAGAGAGGCTTGGATACTTGCTGTGAAGAGAAGGAGCACGGACGGCTCACCATGGCAGCCGAACGAGCACAGCCGGATCCGCAGCGCGCATTTTGTCACGGGTGCGACGGTTTTGTACGCCCCTGGGAAATTTTCCACACTATTCAATCTGGGTCTCGAGGAAACGCTTGGAACAGACTGCGTACACAAGGTTTACGCCCCACATGTATCAAGCAAACCATGCATCGCGAAGCCTAGTTGTATTCCAACCACTTTCTAGCCTCGCACCCAAAATGTTGAAGTTTCCGGCGTTGCGCGATAGGCGACGCGCACTATTTTACAAATTGTGGATTGTGGCACTGCGTGTGCACAAGGATCTAAAAATTTTCTGAAGAAACGTTGTTTAGCACAGATCAACATACTTCACTGCGCATGATCTGATAACTTGATCCACAAGATATATTTTCTTTTGGTAGGTTTTATAATCTTCCAAAACTCTGAAGGGCTACAAGCGAGAATTGATGGAAGCATATTCTTAAGCAAAGTGTGCTTCAAGGGTTCCCCAGTATGCTCTTGAAGGCATACGGGCAACCCTTTGGGGCATGCTGGGGGATCTTTGAGGGTACACAGGGAAACCCCTGGCTTCCTATGAATTCAGTTACAGAACCAATGCACTAGGTCAGACGGCGCGTCTCTGTGCAGACGACGGCGAGGGGGAACCAAAGAAGCAGAAGGCGGTGCCAAAGGAAAAAGAGGACGTCGTTCCTGACTGCGAGGAAGAGCAGGCTGCTCCTGAGAAAGAGGAGGACAGGCAGGAGGCCGTTCCCGACAGCGATGAAGAGGACAGCGACGAAATCGGGGTCGCCACGAAGAAGGGAAAGAAGCTCCTCAAGTATGAGAAGCTTCTGCAGAAGCCAGTTCCCGGCGGCAAGGACGACAGCTCGGAGGAGGAGGAGCCACTAGAGAGCCGAAAAAGGTGAGCCTCCCTGGCGTGCATTAACGCAAGTGGAACGCTGCACAATGTGTTTAAATCCTTTCACTTCAAGTCCGACTGCAGCCAGTGTTGCGATTGAATGGAGCCAATCAAGCAGCGCCAAAACTGCATCTCTCGTCGGCTTTGTGCATTTGCAGTCGCCGACTAAGCAAATTTTCCAGAGTGGATGATTCTGCGCTTTTTTCCTGCGCGTCATTAGATTGGCTTCATCAGTCCGCACCTGGCGCCTTGTCCGCACGTGATAAATTCTCACACACCTTAACAAATGCCCGCTTTATTGGCTCACGAACAAGCTTGTATCATACATAAACCATCATTAACATACTCTGTCATTCGCCAGGTCCGTCACTTCGTGCCATAAAGAGTGGTCTAGATAAAAGAAAAAAAGGCATCCTTACAAATCCACGGCCCAACAAGCGCATTCGTGACTTTGGAATTTGATCAAAACACGCGTCATACGCGCACGTGCTTAAAGTAGCACCAGGATACGGCACTTTTCTCGGAGGTGGTCCAGTTGTGCCATATGCGCCATTTTGATAAATTCCTGCTTGCCTGCGCCTTGCGGCGCCCGAAAGGAAAAATTACGCCAAGCTGAGCCAAAGCCTCAGATGAGATTGAAGAAGATATAAACAAGTAAGATAAAGACGACACAATCTTTCAACTAACAACAGACATATAGGAATCCCAAAAGCGAGCAATCGGTCAATCGGCTGCTTGCTTTTGGAATTCTTATAAATATCTGTTGTTAATTGTTGAAAGATGTGTCGTCTTCGTCTTACTTGTTAATTCTTTCTTCAGTCTGACCTGCACCAACACGCTCTTCGTCCATTAAGGAGCCAAAGCATTTATATGCGAACGAATTCGTTTTTGGAGGAGTTTTCATCTGGCAACTGTGGAAATCCACTGGGATTTTGCTATCACAATCACCTAGTCGAAATACGAATGGTTGTAAGAATCTTCTTACTCGCCCAACCAGAATTACCTGACACAGTGAAACTACAGTAGATTTATTTATAGTCAATCACCTAGTCGGCGACATAAAAAGTGGAGTCCTTGTTTGTGATCTGAGCGATCATCTCCCGATATTTTTGAGCGTAAAGAATATCTCTAAAAACACGAACAAAACCTACATTATTTCAAGGTATTACTCAGGATCGGTTGGACGCATTTCGGCAAGATGTCATTAACACAGACTGGACCGGAGTACTCGGTAAGGTCAATGCTGACGGGGCCTATAACGCTTTTTTGGATCTTTTTTCTACTCTATATAAGACCCCTTTTCCGTTTAAGTACTTCCGAAAAACCAGGCGTATTCGAAAACCATGGATAACGCCGGATTTGCTTTGCAAAATTCGCGTGAAAAATGCACTGTACAACAAGTTTGTGAAGACTAGAAGACAGGATGCCTTTAAAGTATTTAAATCATATCGTAACAACTTAACAAAAGAGATCCGACGCGCAAGAGCTCGCTATTATTATGAGGTTTTTGAGTCTGCAAACAGACGCGTAGATATTATGTGGGAAAGGTTAAACTCAATTTTAGGCCGCAATCAACTATCAAAAAATACCGAGCAAATAAAGCATGATGGTGCAAAACTGACAGGCTGTCTGTTATCTGAGGCTTTCAATGACCATTTTGTAAGCATAACGAGCGCCAAAGACAATTTTAATTCTACTTTTTGTGATGCGAGAAACTAGGCCTCGCTATTTTTAGAACCAGTTACTGAATCTGAGGTAATTTCTCTCACTTTGCAATTAAAAAATAGCGGGAGCTGCGATGCCGACGGCATCCAGATAAAACCAGTGAAGTATGTTGTTCATTTTTTTTTTAATTTAATTTTTTTTTATTCAGACACAAGGTCTCGGATGACAAGGCAAAAAGCAGATGGGTTCTGCCTGACTTGGCCCTATCACCAGTTTACATTGCTCAGCGTATAGTACGACACGTTGTAATATAAACACAGAAACCACGAGGAAACAGAACGGCCCACAAATAAAGATCAAAACAACATAACTCGTACAGTAGTCATGTCATAACAATTTTCGGGGACATAGGATGCACTAGAATAAATGAAGCTCAACCATTGGATACAAACACTTTTTAAAAACATTCATTCAATGGGACATGATAGAAGGTACCGTTTTATATTTCTTTTAAAGGTATGCTTTGAGCCGCATTCATGAATCATTTCTCTTACGGCCGGATGTTTATTTAAGAAATCAGGAATTAAGTACGCTAATTGAGTATGTCCGTAATTCGTCCTTGACCAAGGTATTCTATAAGAGTCATACCGAAGATTGTATTGTATATTTCTAGGAAGGAATGCGTCAAAAAAGTGGACTGGTCACGATTGAACTCATTAAAAATGTGGATTGAAAGTTTAAGCTGGAATAACTGACTAATATTAAGGAAGCTATGTTTTAGAAAAAACGGCGTTGTGTGGTCGGTGCGCTGAAGATTTTCAATACAACGTACTGCTCTTTTTTTGCAAAACAAACAGTCTATCAATATTTGTCTTAGTCGTTGAACCCCAGACTAGTAGACAGTAATGAAGGTGGGAATGAACTAGTGAATAATACAACTGACGTCTTAACCAGCCTGGGACAAGTGTTCTTATTTTGTATAAAATGCCAATAGATCTAGAGATGCTTGCATGAATTTTATTTACATGTGGAGTCCAGCTTAAATTTTCTTGGAATAGAATTCCCAAAAATGTGTAGATAGTGACACGCTCTATCGGAGAGTCTTGGAATTTTAAAATAATTTCGCAGTCATCCGATTTACTTCGCGGCTTAAAAATTATATATTTAGTTTTTGTAACATTTAACTGAAGCTGATTGGAGTCTAGCCAGGACGATGACTCGCTCAGCCATGTATTAGCAGAAATTTCAAGATCACGCAGACATGGGCCAGAGAAAAATAAGCTAGTGTCGTCGGCATACAAAACTATTTCAGGAGTTTTTTTTTTTCAGGAGTTTTCACGATATCATTAATATAAATATTAAAAAAGAGAGGACCTAAAATAGACCCTTGTGGGACACCGTACGAAATTTGTTCTAACTTGGACCTGTAGCCATTAAGACTAGTATGTAGTCGACAAGATGAGTAGCTACGAACTAAAGCTAAAGCAACACCTCTTATTCCATAAAACGGTAATTTATAGAACAAAATATCATGTTTAATCGAATCAAAGGCCTTTCTGAAATCCAGAAACATTCCAATAGTGAAATTTTTGTTTTCAGAATTATTAGGTATTTTTTCTTTGATGCTAAGTAGAGCCATTTCGGTTGACTTATTCTCCGTAAAACCGTATTGCTGAGTAACAAAAGCATTCTTTCACTAAGAAACTTTGAAAACCGTTTTTTTATAAGAAATTCTAGAACCTTTGAAAACAAAGGAACTACAGAAATAGGCCTATAGTTGTTAATGTTGTCAAAGAAGCCTCCTTTGTGTAGAACATCCACTCTTGGAATTTTCATGCCATCAGGAAGAATGCCCGTTGCTAATGCGTTATTGCATATATGCTGCAGAGGAAAACACAAGAGGTCTGCGACAGCTATAATTGGTATAGCCTTGATGTCATCCTCTCCAGCTGCGGTGTTTGTATATAAAGATTTAAGGATTGAATATATTTCTTGTTCATTGCTTGGAGCCAAGAAAATACTGTCGACAGCTACAGATGAAATATATTTGTCTAAGCTTTCGTTCGGACCATGTGGCTGCAATGACGCACCTGCGTTTAAAAAATGGGAGTTAAATTTGTCTGCCAGTAAGGCATCGTTATACTCAATACCATTTAGAGTTAATGTATCGGGAATCTTACTCTTGTGTTTTCCAATTAGACTTCCTACTGCACCCCAAAGTTTTTTTTGGTTCATTCGAAATAGATGCAAACTTGTTTTTATAGCACTCAACACGTGCTTTCTTGAGGTCCTTATTTAATTTATTTCTTATTTGTTTATATTTAATTAATATTGTCTGGTCCCTTAGTCGAATAAATTTATCGTAGAGTTTGTTACGCTCATTAATCCTTTTATACAGCTCGCGAGTAACCCACGGCTTCCTAGACTTCTTGTGATTTATTATAGGTCGAAGAGGAAACGCTTCATTCTAAATGTGCTTTATTTTATGCAAAAATATGTCGTAACACAAGTTTGGGTTTTCTTCATTATAAACGTCATCAAAACTGGTATTCTCTATCATGTCCCGGAAAAGAGCAAGAGCATTCACGCCGAAATTGCGTCGCAGTACAGGAGGGTCACGGATGTTACACTTTTTCTTTTTGACCAGAGGAAAAAAACAATATATTGGCAAATGATCACTTAGATCGAATGTAAGAATACCCGAGACAACATCCTTTGGGTCATAGCTAGTAACACACAAGTCGATCAAAGTTTCACTTTCAGACGCTAGTCTCGTTGGTGAATGAATGACGTTTGAGCAACCAAAAGATTCAATGACATCAAGAAAACGTCGGCAGGAACGAGTAGATGAAAGCAAATCAATGTTGAAGTCACCAACTAAGACAATTGGCAAATTGAGACATGACACGTAGTCTAGAATTTCATTTACAAACTCAAAAAATTCATTTATATTGCCCGATGGGGGCAGATAAACTGAAGCAATAAGTGACCCAAGGCACTTTACAACAACCGACTCATAGTGGTCACTCATCTGCGTAAATTCGGGCAAGACTACATACTCGAGGTTATTTTTAAGATAAAGCGAGGTCCCTCCTCCCTCGCGATTTCTTCTGTAAACCCCTTCAGATTTATATCCTGCGAAATTGACTACGTCGTGTTCACTCGAAAACCACGTTTCAGTAAATGCCAATAAATCGAATCTGTGACCTGAAGAATCCAAGGCTGTTTCTATTTCAAACCATTTATTTTGTAAGCTTCTTATGTTGATATGAAAGATTGACATCTTATCACTTCGAAGCAGAAAAGGATCATGCACAACAGAGTTAAATGACGTGCTG